TCTCAAAAACGGTTACGGTAAAAATGAAATAAAATCTGAAAATAATAACATAAACGGTTGAGGCCCTTCTCATCTAGACCACAAAGTTTGTTTTCATAATATGATATATATTAAAAGTTACGTCTTCTGAAAGTAGCTACATTGACTTAACTGAAAATATGGTTGCTGAAATCTAGACAATATGGCGCGAGCGATCAGCATCGCTATTATAAGTAATATATGCGCCCGATATATACAATCCTATTGCGTGTAACGGTACAAGTAGCGTTTACACACCCATGTCGTGAGTTTGGTTAGGGTTAGAGTTAGGGTTTTTAAACCTGGGGTTGTTAAATAGGAATGGGCCCGTGTAACTTACTTTAATCTGAACTTGAATCATTTATCTACGTGCATGCACGCTATGACAGTTTTTCAGATTTGAAAAGTACAGGAGGACTACTAATGACTCCCCTAGGACACCATAGGGGTTGTTTTCACGCTCCATAATTACACCATTAAGAGGCATGATGGAGAGCTCCACTAAAAAATCACACCCTTAAGAGGCATGATGGAGAGCTCCACTAAAAAATCACACCCTTAAGAGGCATATGATGGAGAGCTCCACTAAAAATCACACCCTAATAAAGGGATGATGGAGAGCTCCTTGAGGGCTCTCCATCATGCCTCTTGGGGTGTGATGATGGAATCATGACCAATCCTTAGTCTAGAGTGAAATCCAAAACGAAAATTGGGATGTCATGTCAATCCACTGATTATCATTCATCTTCACCTTCATTCATTCAGTGGTTTCGTCATGATTACATTCTTTTCATCCAACAACCCAACACTAGCACACAGATTAATAAAAGAGTTGATCGGATGTAAAAATAAACTTGTTTTATTTATTCTGATCTTCATCCTTAGAGACTCTAATCTATGTACCTGCATAAATCAGCACGAAATATCATCACAATTCATCAACAAACTAGCCAAATTACTTGTACGTAGTAGCCACGTATGTAGCCCCTCCAGCCCTACGACTGTTTCACGTCGGCAGAAAACCACTTCTCGCCACGTATAGTGGAAAACGAGCAGGTAGCTTGTGGCTACCGTGTAGGTACCTGTATTTGGATGCTGTTGTATAAACCAGAGGGTAGTAACCTGTACCTCTGTCATACGTTCAGTTACTTACGCACCACGAATTGTTGTGTGTCGCTAACCTTTGTAATAATTGTGACAGGTGGCATTGCCAGTATTACTAGTAAGGGACTTTTGGTGCGCGATATTTCAACCACTATTATGAGGCGCGATGATGCACGCACCACGGCACAATTTCGGGTGCGCGATAAAGCGTGGGCGCGATCGCGCCCCTTAAAAATGAAAGCCTGCTATGATGTCCTGGTAGCGGCCACAACATAAGAATATATCAAGTTGGTAAATGTAAACATCATACCAAAATGGTCTGTCTTCATTCACATTTGTCAACTAATGAAAATCACTTCTGGTTACTTCGGCTATTCCCGATGTTCAAATTGGTAGTCCGCGCCATCTATGGTCCGGTTAATCTTAATTATTTCCGAGTGAACCTGAAACTACCGGAAGTGAATTTCATTGGATGATCGAAATGAATATGGCCAAAAATATCAAAGTTACTCTTACTAGGATGAATTATTGCATGAAAACAAAGTTCTGAAACGGAGATAAAGTCTTCGGAAAGCGATATTGACAAACAGATGGTCTGTACTTGATATTTCGGGTCTATCCTGGTATATATCCCCGTCACGCCCTCAGTGCTACTCGATTCACCTATCCAATGCCCACAACAAAAATTGCAAAATTTTTTACAAGGGTGTCTGCAGACGATAAACTCGCACCCTCAGATTAGCAAAGCGGAGTTATAACGTCTGCATTTGCGGACAACTCGGCTACATGAACTAGACTAAGACTAAGAGTAAGAGTAGTGCTGTTGTGCCCAAACTTGGAATCTTGCACAAACTTGGAATTTCAGCGCATCCGCAGTTTGGGCAACCAATCTTGAGATTGGGCAAACAGAGGTAAACAGAGCTTGCACAAACATTACGCACGCACGCACGCACGCACGCACGCACGCACGCACACACACGCAGTTATAAAATAGTAGTTACCTGTCACGAAATGATCAGAACAAATAGTGGAGAATTTTGACGGACTCCAGTGCGTACCATTTACATTTACTCATTTACTCATTTACTCATTTACATTTAAGTGGCAGTCAGACACTTATGACTTATCACACCTCTCTGGACTCTTATGTCATTTTGGCAGCCCAAAAAAATATCTTTTCTTATCTGTGCTCTATGCCCCGCTCGAAACTTTTGCCAGCTCTATGATGCGAATTTCTACAAAGTTGTCTGACCACATTTCAACACAAAAATGACCAACCGGTCGTTGTGACTACGCCACCTGACGGAATGTCACGAATACACAACAAGACCAATTTCACTTCTAATGCTTTCTAGACGTCCACGAGGCATCTAACTTGCGTGCATAATGCAAATTATTGCACTCTAGTGCTGAATTTGGGCGGAAAAAAATTCCAAAAAAGGCCTCCTGTAGAAGATGTACAATATAATTCAGGTAACGGTGAATTGGCGGTGCGACTAATTCATAACTTTATTTATATGAACTACGAGTAGTACCAGTGTAATATGTTCATCTGAAATGAATATATACTCAAACTTACAACACAACCATGAGCGATGATGCATCACGAACTACCGGCCACTTTTTCTGTAATCAAACTGTAGCTTGCGGTGCTAAAAAATGGCCTAGCCTGAATACCCGCGATAGTCTATTCTCACGGCGAGGTAGGCTAGCTAGTAGTGGCAATGAAAACGTTCTAAACCTAAACCCACCTAAACGATCGTCAAAGCGTTGTCAACAATGTAGGTGTGGGTCGATATAGGTAGCGCGAGCTTTGATGATGGAATATTATACAGCGCGAGCGAAGGAGCCTGGCCAATGTTAACTTGTGCGGTGCGGAAAAACGAAAAGCGTACACGAGCACGCGAGAGAGCCATTGCTCGTGGTCGAAGAGAAGGCTAAACATCATATCAATGCTTGTAATTTCAATGCAGTGAAACGATAATAAAGCAATTATGTTTAAAGAAAAGCCGTTGTTTCGTTAACCATCGCTCAAAGCAACGGTTATATTTACTTATATTTATTTATAACGTTAGGAGTAAATAATCTCAAACAAGTGCCGCAGTGCGACAGGGCTCATCTGGTGTCTGGTGTTCTGCTGAGAAATTCATTTGTGCATAGCAAGACGTCTTATACATAAGTCTTCTTTCATGGTTCATACAGGACTGAAATTTTTTCCAAGGACTTCAAGGACTTTTCAAGGACATTTTATCAGAAATTCAAGGAAATTTTATCACATTTTATTGGAATTCATACACAGAACAAAACATACCTGGATTAATTTAATAACCCCATTCTTAATCACTGCATGTCACCTCTAAAACTTACCTGGATCACATTAATAAACCCTTCTAAGCACTGTCACTTCTACAACATACCTTCGCGGGGGTACCATCCAGGGTTCGTGGCGGTCTTGCCTGGGGCCACAAAGTCCGGTGACCTTTTAATACAGTAATGAATGCCCGGATGTCTGTTTTCCGAGGGGGATGTGCCCCCTCCCCAAATAACGGGACCATCTCGAGTTGGAGATTGATAAAAGGGAACAGCGAGGACCCAATAGTGGAAAAAAGAATCTGTAATTTGTAAAGTAAAAAGAAGGGAATCATGTGGGAGTGAGAAGCTGCAATAAAGACAAAGAAATCACTGAGAAAAATGCGGCATAACAATAAAAAACCACTTAAAAAAAGAGAAAAGGAAAGAAGCAAAAAGATGACAGAATGTAAATATGTACGGTATGTGGTATCCAAAGAACAATCCGCTTTCGCGAGATAAGAACGTGAGTGCTAGACACTTATTTGCAGGTCTCATGTTAACAGAAAACCAGCATGTCTCAACGCGGAAAAGACGCATGTAGTGGAGAGCAATGCCAATTTAGTGTCCGTATCGACTGAATATTCCCGGCCATAAAATCACCATAACGTCAGACATAATCAGTTGATGTTTGGCATGGCTAAATACAGGGCACAGCCCTCCCCCACAAAACGAGCAGCATGGGTAAATTAAGCATATTATTGCAAACTCATTTTTATTGTACACATTTATTGTGCAAAAAAAGCAGTATTTAGCTCATCTCATACGTGTCAAGATATGCACACAGTGTATAGTTTATCAACTGAAGGATGCAGATGTTGTCACGAATTTGAATGCAAAATACCTGGTTATTATTAAATGCAAACGACTTTTTATCTTCCTATACAGAATAAAGGTGGCGCCACGTGGCACTGATCAGTGATTTACCAGAGCACGTATATCATAGACTAGATGTCTACATAGGAGGTGCTACAACACTATCATTATACCAGGAGTAAGATTATTTATACTATAGATGTTATCATTCTATAGCATGTGCATCAGCGAAACACATAAACAAGTGCTGTGATCTTATATACTACCATAATTACAAAATTTAAAACAAAGTATTTCACTAGTAGTAGTGATATAATTTTTGTTTAATCAACATCTCAACTAATCCATGGCAAATGAATGAAATAACGTACATGCAAAAGATACACGCTACTATATCGCTAGGGTTCATTATCAATGTATAGATTCTAGCACCAACACATACACACACAAACAACCGACCAGATTTGACATGTACAGCATATGTCCTCCGGACTGCCGCCACCTTATGTCTAGTACATAATATATTCACAATTGAACTTCTTCGTTATAAGACTAGTCGACCAACCGGTAGTTCTACGCGCAGACCTTTCAACTCCATACAGCTTTATTGTCGTAAGTCTATAAAACGTTGAACGTGGGTAGCCATGCTAGATGGATCTAGAAGCAGACTCACCAGATTCGCTAGAATTCACGTGCAAACGCACAATACATTGTGATCCCGAGCATGAAAACCTCATCGTGCAAGTTGACAGATCTGCGATAGGTTTATTGCGAGCATACTTACAAAGTTCAACTAAACAGTGAGAAACGTGAATATCACCGAAGCAGCAAATCATATATATCACACGTGCAATCGTTTAGGATGAATTTGCTTATTTGTTTGCCATAACATAACGAATACATCTATAACAACATATAACCTCGTGAGCACTCCATTTACTTAACAAACAGCCAACAATGTGTATTCATTTACTCTACAAACGTGCAATATTGTGCGTAGGTAGGCTACTAAACTCTACTCCAACTAATACAGAAGAATACACACAGAAGGGTGGGTATCTAGCATGGATCTAGATATTGTTCATAGATATTTATGCCAAGCATAATAAATAAACATTCACACCAACCTCATATACACTAATGCCTGTATCTACAAAGCACATCGTCTTAAGAAATATACTCCAAGCAATCTATTTGATAAATATACACTTCTTGATCACAGGCATTTTCAGGTGCATGGCTAAGATAGTATAGTATACATGTACTTTATCAAGTTGGATGTGGTGGACAATTGACTACTATTATACTCTACATTCCAACTATTTACATTATAGCTACACTTTTAGTTAATGCACTACTTGTGAAACACGCATGATCGTTTGCTCCTTTTAGTGTACTTGACACTCTCTCGAATGTCGAAGCCAGTTAACTTGGTCATTAACAATAAACTTTACTAGGTAAAACCTACCTATCTGTACAACTATCTATGCTATAAGAGGGAATGGGTGAAACCATTTCTAAAAAAATTACTACCCTTATATTGGTGTGCCGCTGGTAGATCTAGTAGTGTCTTAGCTTGGGCAATGTCATTCTTGATTGCAGTTATAAGATCGTCTAAAATGACAGAAAGTACTTTAATATTTCACAAAACCTGGAAAACTCGCGACATGTACCATCACAACATGCATGAATTTTGATATGTAGGTACATCAACAGATGTATTAATCACTATTACTTACTTAAAAGTTCAAATGTGTAATTAACTAATCAGATATAACATTAATTATGGAGGTTCTATCAGACCAGTATAAAATCTAAAACCAGGTACATGCAAGTGGATATTTAGTAAAACTCGCGTAAGTCGACATCGTCTAAGTCGTCAATTCGCATAAGTCGACATGGAAGTCAAAGTCCTGATTCGCTCTCATAGTAAATCCATTGGAATAGCCTCGCCTAAGTCGACATTTATAAATCGTCATTATGTACAAGTCGACACGCTCAGACAGATCCCATGTAATACAAACAACAGTAATTTCCCATCTGTAAATCGACATAGGAAATGCCGATGGCACAGTGTACGGTCTAGAGAATGCACGAGCTGGCTGTCCAGACGGATTGTTTGAATCGCATTGTTCGCTTGGACGCATTGTGTTTATTTGGTTTATTCCCATTTCGCCATTTCCCACTTCGCCATTTGCCATTTCGCCATGGAAAAATTCCCACTTCGCCATTTGCCATTTCGCCATTTCCCACTTCACCATTTTCCCATTTCGCCAGTTTCCCATTCCGCCATTTCGTCCTATCTCCCCGACCACCCCCTTGTTCGAGGTGGGTTAAAAGTAGGCCTCTGTAATGAATAAATTATAACGAATCTTTAGATATGGAGTCAACTATTTATTTGAAAAACAAGAAGGCGAAATCGTACATATCAAAACATATGGATCATGTACAGGCACCCTAACCCTAACCCTAACCCTAACCCTAACCCTAACCCTAACCCTAACACTAACGACCTAGAAATAACTCTTTTTTTAAGAATGGAAGGATCAATTTCGTGCAGGAGGTGGAAGCAACATAAAATATTGGCGAAATGGGAAACTGGCGAAGTGGGAAAATGGCGAAGTGGGAAAATGGCGAAATGGGCAACTGGCGAAATGGGAAACTGGCGAAGTGGGAAAATGGCAAAGTGGGAAAATGGCGAAATGGGCAACTGGCAAAATGGGTAATGGCGAAGTGGGAAAATGGCGAAATGGGCAGACACCGTTTATTTTCCAGCTCGCAGGCAGCTCACACACCCCCAGATTCCCCACTGTATACAGTGTATTATATAGTATATATAGTGTATGCAGCTCAAAGCAGGGTGCGAAATTAACGCGACTCCAGATCGAGTCAAATACTCCCTGATTTACTGTCGCACTCCCTGATTTGACATATGCAGGAGTCCGTGTGACTCCCTGAAAATTAATTCTGCTATACAGTACTAACTAGTTCGTTCCAGAGCACGGCCTCGCGGAATTACCGCATTTTTTTCAGCAAATGTTCCAAAAAAATTTCCCATACGTGCACACGCAAATGTCCTGCTACGCAAGGCAGCTAATAGAGTAACAGTGTATACGCGCATTACATACATTGTATAAGTCGACAAAATGACGACTTACGCGTAAGTCGTCATTTTCGTAAGTCGACACAAATATGCTGGTCCCAAAAGTGTCGACTTATGCGAGTTTTACTGTATATATATATATATTCTGTACAGTATATATATTAAACAGCACTTGACTTGTGAACTAAAGCAAATTTTATTCATTGTGAATTTAAATCTAAATAACGTACAACATAAAATGACAAATCCCAAAACTTACTTAAACCATCAAAGCTCTTCTCTGGACGAATGTAACCTAGTAATAGGGTCTTCAAAGTTGAGCCATAAAAATCCTCGGCAAAATCGTGAAGAATATGGGTTTCCTGAAAAATTGTTACAAAGGATATTAAATTATCAACAATGACTTCATGATGGTAATAAAACGATGAACATACCACAAAGATTCATGACCCATATGATTGCTTAACAAAGCAAATTTCCACACTCAGTTATAATCTGAACCCACCAAGCCACTACACAATTTCTAGATTCCCTTAATACATAAACAACAATAGTAGATAGATTTTGATAGAAAGTGTAAAATGATGAGAACATTATTTTAATCTGTGAGTTAATATTAAAGCACACTAAATAGCAGACCTGACATATAAAACTGAATTAAACCTCGATTATCCGAACGAGACGGGCAGGGAGTATATTTTGGTTCGGATAACTGATTATTCGAATAACCGATGCCAGTATTTAAAATACATGGCCGGTTCAGCTCCGGGTCCGCGCGTGGCGCTTGGCAACCGTTCACAAGCAAATTATGTCAGCAACTGTACCGACTGTTTCCAGTCCGACTGTTTCCAGGCAACGTTACATCAAACGCGCACCGCCTATTTATCTTTCTACAGCGCTAAACAAAGGAAAAGTGAACTATCAAATATCTTTTCTTGAATTATGAATAACACAAATGGATTGAAATATTTCATTAAATTATCTAAACAAGAGCCGCAGAGCGCCTGGGCTCATCTGAGGTCTGTTGCTACGGTTATAAACGTAACATTTAAGTCGTGCGTAGTGACACCTTTGTTAGCCGCAGATATGCAGATACGCAGTTGCGTACACATCATTTCAGCAACCTTCTGCATTCTGCATACCTCCCAAATCCCATTGGTTGATACAAATCGCGTGCCTGAAACTCCTGCTTTATGGTGCATTGTGACCCTAACCCTAACCCTATTATAAAAAAAAAATTGTTGTAAAAATTATTTGTTGTTATTAAATTGTTGTAAATAAATCATGTAAATATTTGAGTTAATTGGAAAAAACAGTTATATGGATAAAGATAGAAAAATACAGAAAACAGGTAAATAATAAATGAAAGTCTCAATGATACTGTAGCTCACCACAAAAAAAGGACACAAATGAGTGAGTGAGAAGAAGTCAGTTATAATTGAGCAACCATTGACGTACATTATAAAAACGAAGAGTATATATGGGAGAACTCCCATTATATACTCTTGATAATTATGTGTAATTTTTTATGTGAAAATAATAAATAATATTATAAATAATTTATAAACCAAAATAAATCACAATTTGTGACAGTAGATGGCGCTATACCCGCTTTGATGTTTCTTAGCATAAATCATTATATCATAATAATAATAATATAATGATAGTATAAATCATAATATGTTCATAGCAGAAATTTTGCATTAAAGATATATTGTCAATGAAATCTTGTAAAACGAACCAGACGAGTGTGACACCACAGACTGTTTGTTATCTGCGTGTCTATATAATAGGCTATATAATTGCCAAACCCTACCTAATTTGCATAATTTTTTGTTAAATATCAAAACCCCTAGCCCTTATTCATTCACATACCAAAAATGAACAAAATCCGTTGAACTTGAACTG